AACTCATTGTGGCACAGAGATCAGTAACACTGCAAGTCATTGCTTGAGTCTTAATCTTGGACCTTGCTGTGGGATCTTTGGAGTCAGTCACTATGGATATCTCTTAATTCATGTCTGTGTATTACTAAAGACTGTAGGGGGACCAGAAAATGATCAGATGATCATCATGTAATGTTGTTTCACCTCCTGGAAGAGCGGTCTTAGTGATTTTGTGCTGTGGGCTGTGCTTGCTGAAGTGGGTAGTAAAGATCCCTATTTCCATTACAAAGAGTAATGTTTAATGATCAGCTGAAGTATTGATATTACCATCTTCCCTCCTGCCTGGTAAACAGCTGCTCATGCACACAAAACGAAGCATTGTGGGAGAACTCTTGGGTGAAGAGTTAACTCTTAGCTATCATCCTCAGGCAGAATTTGTTTTCTGTACTCCCTTAAGGATGCAGGGCTTTTCCTTGTCAGCAAAGACACATCTCCACATGGCAAACTCGCCATCTGCAGGCCAGTGAGACAACTCGCCAGGGACGGAGAAGAAACAGCCCCACAAACTCAGGGACACCTTGCTTATGGTGGTCTTATGATTTCCTCTTCTTTTGTGCCCCATTTAACAAAAGGAAATCGCTCTCTGGGTGTTATCCCAAAGAAGTTTAGAGCGTCTGTCTCTTGAGCTTAATCCTGTCCCAGTGGATTTCTTAAAAATGTAAAAAAATTAGATTTCATGTTCTTCTGCAGCAGGCTTCTCCTACCCTTATTAACTCATATCTGGTCTCAGCTGCAAGGAGAGAGAACAGCTTCCCAGCCCAGGCCTTAACACCCTCCCCCAGCTACTAAAAATCATCACTCTTTTGTCCTATGAAACACGGTTTTGATTAGAACACACTGTTTCATAAGCATATTTTTGCCATGAGAACATGTTTTATTTTTTAAAGATACTAAAACATAGTGTTTCAGGAAGTTGAACTTTCTTTGTCAGGCTGGAAGAATATTAATGGAACACATTTTTCTATTTGAAATAAATCTTAAGGAGGATATTTACCTTATTTCAGTGGTTATTTTGTAGTGCTCTTGAATGTCAGTTGCATCCAATTAATCATAGAAAGTCAAAACCTAAAGAAAATATTTAATTTTCTTAGTAATGTTTCCATTCAGCCCTCAAAAAAAAAACCCCAAGAGGAAACTGAAGCAACCTCAGTTTCCCCCCCATTTTGAATAAAACTATCTCTAAGCTGAGATGATTTTTCATTTAAACCTGGGTTTCTAAAGAAGAAAGCATACATAAATACCTGATTTTGCATTTCCATCTGCCTAGAGTTGAGCACTGGTGGTATACATTGGAGAGCAGTGTCCACTTATTTTTAAAAAAAATATTTAAAGAAGACTGAACCAAATTTTTAATTCAAAAACTAAGACTCAGTGTTAGCTTGTTGAAAGGGAAGCACCCAGAGGTTGTACCTCTGCCATGTATCTGCTCCCAGGTGAATTCTGAAAACAGGGGACTGAAGTTAATAGAAAATAGTATTCAGAATGGATTTTCACATTGCCTGGAAACATCAGGTAAGCTCTGGGTTGCAGTCAGAAGGGTAGCACATCTGAATACATACACTTGTTGCAAACTGGCTTGATCCAAAGAACTGAAGTGTATAGACACAGTGAGGGGAAGACTCATTCATTCCCCTGACACAGGGGGAGAAGCCAGGCATAGATCAAGACTGATTCTTTTGACATCAGAAAGCCTTACTGCACTGGGGAGGCAAAATCATGACTTAACTGTATTTTCATTATATTTTCTTAGAACCCCATTGGGCTTAAGTATTTGGTTTCATGGGGTACTTAGACAAGTCTGCTTCTTTTAATCCTTAGTTACATCCAGCTTCATACATGCTCCTTCTGGGAATTGTGTTCCCACACAGTTTACACACACCCCTTAGAACAAAGGCCCAGAGCAAGTGTCGGGGGTCTCCCCCAGGGTTTGCTCCTCACAGACTAGCCCCAGGTTTGCCCAAATGCTCTGGCTGAGCAGCAGGCAGGGCTGGAATGCTTGCTGGTCCCACTGGGCTGTCAGTGGCTAACTGTATGTCCATGTCCAAAGGTTTTGTTTTGCTGGAGTTTCCTGTTCTGGGAAGGACAGCATCTGGCAATCTCAGCAGTAAAAGCTGTTTTCCTCAAAGGAGTAGCTGCCTGAGGCCTTTCCATGGTTCTAACATACTGATTTTGTAACCAGATTGCTGACTTCTCTTGCCAGCCTTGAACCACAGGTAGCCAAACCTGATCCAGCCCTGTCACAGCACCGGGTTTGTTTCAGGTGTGCATTTAAAAACTGCCCTCCCCAAGCAAAGGCAAGGCAGGCAGTCGTGTCAGGTGGTGCAGCTCTGGCCAGCCACCCCCCTTTATGGGCAGTGTAGGAGGAAGCTGGTCCAACCAACCTGGTCCTTAGCCCATTACTGCTCCTATTTCAGTAGCCAGGGCCACCTCCCCAACACAGTTTTCCCCTTTCCCATATCTCAGGAGCCAGCAGGGAACAAGCTGCAGAAAATGTAATTTGCTGAGCTCTTTTCAAAACCATGCCATTTGTGTAATTAATGTTCCGTATTTTCTACCTATTCCCAGCTGTCACATGAAACTTGGCATGCACCAGCTCTCTCGTGCATAGGGAAAACAGTTTGTATACTGATGAGACATTTACAGGTGCTGCTTGTCTTTATTTTTTATGCTCCTTCCCTGATAATGACAGAATGAATACAAGGTTATTATTTCATATGCTTTTACTATTTTAATCTTCTCAACACACAAAGAAGACTCAGTGGTACAAATAAGGAACCCTCTGAGGAGGAAAACAGTTTTATTGAGAAATCTGTATGGCATGACAATGGTAGAGACTTTCTTGTCACATTATGTGTGTAATTTAAATTAATTAATAAAGAAGATGTCTTTTTGGAATTTCTGGTCTTCTGCAATAAGTGTCCTGGAGCTTGGAGACAGAGTTGAGAGATATTTGGTGGGACCTTGTTTGGGTGTTTGGGTCACTGCTGCCTGCACTGTTCCCATTCCTGAGAAGAAAGATCTCAGTAACTGGGTTAGCAATCCAGAGCTGCCTTTTGATAGTCCATTGTATTGGTACAGATCCCAAGGGGCACGAGGATTTCACTCTGATGGTGTAATTTGACTTCACAAGGTTTCTTGAGAAGGATGTGCTCTAAAGTGTCCAAAAGGTTTCTTTCTTTGATTCCTTCCAGAAGTCTTTGTAAGTACAGTGATGGGAAGGGTTCACCTACTATTTAGATTGCATCTCAACCAGAAACTGCAGCAAATGCTGTTGTTCAGATCAAAATGGTGTGTAGCCTGCAGAAAGTAGTTGAAATTCTTTGTGGTAAAAGCATAGCACTGGCTGCATTCCCTACGGGGGTGCAGGGAGCTGGCTGTCTCTGCACACCAATTCTTTTGCTCACATGCTTTTCTTCTGTAGGTGCAGGGGCAAGTAGGTACCCATGAAACTGCTGCATTTCTGGAATCGAGGGCATTTTATTTAGAAGGGGCTTTGGTTGCCTGCCGTGAGGCATCTTATGAAAGAATCTTGGTTTTCAGAGAGCAAATGCTGAGCACTTTCCCCAAAAATCAGACCTGTGATAAGATACCCCTTTTTGGATATTCGAGGTCACTATCAATTTTTTAAAAGAGAGCCCATGACAGCTATTTGGTGGCTTTTTGAGGATAACCAGTTCAATGCACCATAGATTTTTATGGCTTTATTTCCCAGTGATTTTTTCCCCTGGCAGTACATTTCTGCTGTTGCTTGACAAGCATCACTGAGAGCCTGCTGTAGTGCTTGTTTGCCAAATGAAAATCTCACCATCTTACACAGTTGTTCTTGCATCTACAACTGAGGGCACATTGAAGTTACCACCAAGTACAGTAAAAGGAAGTGTGTAGCAATTCCCTAAACTGTTTCAGGTCTTTCAGGTCAAAAGAGGTAAAATACTGACCTGCTGATTCTTTGGTTATTCAGTATACAAAAAATATTTTAGTTGGCAGGAAAGCAGAGATACCTAGCAAGCTTTCTTCTCTCCCTATTTTTCCTAAATTCTCATCAAGGAGTGAAAAATATTTAAATTCTATAAATAGAAGTTTATAGAAATGAAAAGGAGAAATAAAGCTCACAGGACCTACTAAAATTTGGGAACTGCATTGTGAGTGCAATAGTTAAAATGTTTTTCTGATAATACATAACTCTGTGCTCATTTCTCAGGTAACAGAGATTTACTTTAGTGTTCCAGAGAAACCCCCTGCCCCAAAACCTGTAAGGATCCCGGCTATTACTTGTCAGGTTTCTCTGATCAACCAGACAAACTTCTTTTGGATGGTGTCCATAGTGCACAGGAATAAGAGAATAAATGTTTTCCTACTATTTCTGGCACTATTTTTTCTCTGCTTTCACCACTGCTTGCCTGCATCCCGCTTTACAAATTCAACCATTAGGTGGGGCATTTCTACTGTCAGCAGCCCAGATTTCATCTGCAGCGTATTGTGCCTGGGACAGATGCAGAGTAGTCCTGTGTGCTGGGATATGAGATCTCTTCTGTTCTCTTTAGTGCTTTCTTCTTTTATCAGCTCCAAAATAGTATAAAGGGGGAAACCTGAGTCAAAAAGTACAACTTAAGGTCTCGGTCTCTATCTTTTTTGTCATGTGTGATGTGTTAAAGGTTATCCAACTGAAGAAGGTGCTGATCAATTACTGAGTTATACACTTCATAGCCAAAAGTGCGCAGTCGTTAATTTTTTTTTTAATTTCACTTGAACAATTTGGAATCAGATACCAGGACAACTGTTTCTTCCTGGTTTTGATGTCTGGGTGAAAGCAGTGACACATTTCCTGACACTGTAGTGGACCAGTTGTTTCTCATGATACAGCACTGGCCTCTGTTCTTCCATGGGGTAAACTTTCATAGGATTTGGGCTTCTTTTGCTGGGAATAGCTATGCTTTATGTGCCCTTTTTAAATCTGAAATTAATGAAAAAAATCAACTTAAAAAAGAAAGAAAAATATCTTTGTTATATAGAGACAATACTCATCCAGCATGGCTGAGCAGCCCTTTCTGAACTGGGGGAGGGGGAGCTCTCCTATGGCCCTCTGAGCTCTCCTATGACCTGAAGTCCCAGAAATATAGGCATCATGAAACTTCATGAAACTTTTGGAGAAAGTGATTGTCTCTTTGCAAACCTGGGATTCTGAGGCCTGGGTTTATCCCAGTCAGCCCCAAACACCTTAATCAAGGACTGTGTTGCTGCAGGAGATGGAGGGAGAGAGAGGCACATCCAGGGGGCAGTTGAACTTGTTCTGAGATTTGACTATGGCCTAATTAGAGAGGACATGAAAAGGTCTGAAGGACTTTACTGATGGCTGGTGCTGGGAGCCTGCCTGTCTTCTCTGCTGCTTCAGTCTCTATGCACCACTAGTTACTGAGTCCCCCTCAGACCTGCTTCTGCAGATGGGATCCTTCAAGTACCCCAGCTCCAGCTCAGTGTCCGGACTCCCCTTAAATGCCTCTTTTATTCAAAAACTTCTGGAAAGCTTCACTTTGGAGACACTAAAGCAATGGACTATGCTTGAAGCAATAATATTGTCATTAATTTTGCTCAGTCTCCTTAAAAAATCTCTTTCCAGGAGAGCCCAATTCCATAAAAATATGAAATTTCAAAATTTCTTCATATTCAAATTTCCCACCATAGAGGGACCTTGAAAAACCTTGTCTACCTGGGCTTTGGGGTTTTTTTATATTCCCTGTTTCTGGCCTGGTTGTGATTGTGTATCTGTGTCTATAGCTAAGCCAGGGCCTTAAGAAACCATTACTAAAAAAAATTCCTGTTACATTTAGTATAGGCTGAGGATATAATTTCTCCAGTGACCTTGAGAGATGCTTGCCTTGAGAACTATATTAGTAAAACAGAGGGCTGTAGTCTGGAAAAGGAACAGAACTGCATAGAATTACACCCATTGTCCAGAACCACAAAAGCAGAGATGTGCTGGCAGATGCCTCAAAAGTATCTGTTATTAGGTCAGATAAATTGAAACAGCAGCTAGGAGGGCTCTGTTCACTGCCTCTCCTGTGATGGAGATATGCCTAGAGGATAGCAGGGACAGAAGGGCTCTGCTCCTGGGGGTAAAACATTTATGAAGGACTACTGGACACTGGGAATGAAACTGTTTTGTGTCAGAAAGGGTCTAATAAGAGTTCAAGCCTGGCCATTTGCACACCTGGCACCATTTGCATAGATTAATATATCATTCCTCAAACTAGTTTTCTTTCTGAAATACTCATTTCTGGCATTTCTTTGCTTATCACCAGTGCTAAATTTCCTGCTCACATGGTCTGTAGTGACTTGTTTACTGCAAGGCACACCGGTCTTCTACTGCTCCATCATCACTGGAATTTTTATGGCCTTGCTCTCTTCTTTCCTGAAGGATTAAGTGTGCTAACTCCCAGCATGAAGTGATTTCCTTAAGTGAGGCTTTACCCATAAGGATACATTTAATGCAAATATATGTCAGGTTTTAAGTGTACTTTGGGGAGGGTCATTTGACTTGGATGGATGTTTTATTTTACCAGCAGAGATTGAGGCATGCCGCAACCTAAAAGTTGACCCCCACAAGATGACTCTGCCTGGCTTACCCTGAACACAGGATGCTGGATCTTAGTCTGCTAGTGTTGCATCTCTGTTGAGAAAAGCAAACAAGGCAGGTGTAAAATGAAAGACTTAAGGGCCTCCTGGTGTGAAAGGACAAGCTCTGCTGAGAAGTACCTGCTTAATATTTGTCTAACTTTCTGGCAGAGACAAGAACTTCAATTTGTTACAGAGTTTACAGTTTGTTACAGAAATATTACTATATTCCCAGGTGGGAATAAGGGGCAAAGTCCCCCCCAGTTTCTTTTAAAAGGTTAGGAAAAGAATAATTGAGATGGCTTAAAATTAGAATAATTAAAGTTTAATAAGATTAGTTAAAACTCCCTCTATGACAAGGTGACCTGTCTAGTGGATAAGGGAAAGACTGAGTATATTGTCTAACTCGACCTTAATAAAGCCTTTGGCACTATTTTCCACAGCATTGACCTGGAGGAATTGGCTGCTCGTGGCTAGGATGGGTGAACTGTTTGCTGGCTAAAAAAACAGAGGGATGGCCAGGCCCGGAGGGTGAGGGTGAACGGAGTTGCATCCATCTGGTGTCTGGTCACCTGTGATGTTCCCCAGGACTCAGTACTGGGTCCAATTCTGTTTAATACCTTTATCAATGATCTGGATGTGGGGATTGAGCCTGCTGTGAGTCAGTTCCTGGGTGCCACCAAGCTGGGCAGGAGTGCTGATCTGCTGGAGGGCAGGAAGGCTCTGCAGAGGGGTCTGGACAGGCTGGATCGATGGGCTGAGATCAAGTGGTGTGAGGTTCATCAAGGCAAAGTGCTGGGTCCTGCCTTTGGGTCACAATAACCCCAGGCAGTGCTACAGGACAGAGAGGCTGGAAAGATGCCTGGAAGAAAAGGATCTGGGGGTGAACATGAGGCAGCAGTGCCCAGGTGCCCAAGGAGGGCAGTGGCACCTGGCCTGGATCAGCAATAGTGTGGCCAGCAGGACCAGGGCAGTGGTTGTCCCCCTGCACTCAGCACTGGGGAGGGCACACCTCAAATCCTATGCTCAGTTTTGGGCTTCTTGCTACAAGAAGGACATTGTGGGGCTGGAGCATGTCCAGAGAAGAGCAATGGAGCTGGTGAAGGGTCTGGAGCACAAGTCTGATGAGGATCTGCTGAGGGTGTTTGGCCTAGAGAAAAGGAAATTGAGGAGGGACCTCATCACTCTCTACAACTGCTTGAAAGGAGATTTTAGTGAGGTTTGTGTTGGTCTCTTCTCCCAGGTAACGAGCAATGGACAAGAGGAGATGGCCTCAAGTTGTGCTGGGGGAGGTTTAGATTGGATATTAGGAAAACTTCACCAAAATGAGTGTCAGGGATTGGCACAGGCTGCACAGGGAAATGGAGCCACCATCCCTGGAAGGGTTCAAAACATATGTGGATGTGATGCTTAGGGACATGGTTTAGTGGTGGACTTGGTGGTGCTGGGTAATGGGTAGACACAATACTCTTAGAAATATTTTCCAACCACAACAATTCTATGATTCTGTGATATTCCTGTGCAGGCAGAAAAAGCCAGCTAATAGAGAATTTATTATTCAAGTCTGGTGCAAATGCTCCATGCTGTAAGGACTTTTCTCAAATGTGAAATGAAATCATGGACAATAAAAAGTAAATTGTGCTTTTGGCTTAGTACAAAGTGGCCTTTACGGTTCCCAGCTTATAAAAGTTTGGTGGGCGAAGTAAACCCCTGTGTGCAAGGGCAGTGTTGTATCTCCAATAAAATCTATTTTAGTTTTTGAGCACTGGTATGATATACCAATACATTTTTTTATTTTGTGACCCTCTGTATGCCAGAAAGCCTAATTCTTGGCAGGTTGGGAAGGAAAATGAAATCAAAGTTTAAGCCTCTTCAGTGGTCAGGAGACATGATGTTCACATTCCCACTTCCTCCCAGCAATGTCCCCAACTGGGCCAGCACTGTTGTCACGTATGTGACTCGTGTGCATTGTGCTGACAAATGGGTTTGATCTCAGCTTGCTGCCAGCCTGTTCTTGTCCTCAGTCTCTCGATGGGAGTGGGTGGGGGCATTCTGCCAGCCTGGGCTTAAGGAACAGCCAGCCCTCAGCTGCAGAGGGTGGTTATGGAGAGCATCATAAAAATGGAAGGGAATTCACTGCCACAGGAAAGCAGGGCCTTGTTTGTATGAACCCTCTCTCCTGCTGAAGTTGAGTCCTTAGGATATGCCTATAGGTTCCTCCACAGTAAGTTTTAATATGAATGTGCTGTTTAAATGCTAGGCTAAACCTGTGTATGGGAGAGCTGGCACTGTGAGATGTCCTGTCTGTCACAGCTTTACAAAGACACCCCAGGCAGCAACCCTGCCCTCCCTTCTCCAGAACAATGTTCATCAAACACAAACCTTTTGCAGAAGATGCTATTATTGTAAACACAAAAATTCATACCCTATTAATAGGATTCAGTGACACTGGCTGCTTTTTACTGCTCTGTTTCACATTGCATTGTAAAATAAAAACTTTCTAAGACTTTAAATGTGAGCTGAGGCACCTGCCTCATGTCTGTGTGCCCCAGCATTTGGAATGGGACAGATGTCCCAGGAAAAGCTGAATTGCTATGTCAAAGTGTTGAGCCCCTCTGGCTTACCTTGTCCTCATGGCCTTTCAGCATTGAGCTTTTTTGAGCTCTTACACTTGTTGCATATTCATTTGCAGTAATTAAGAACCTCTTGAAATGGCATACTTTTACAGCAATAATGCATACAGTGTGTGTGGACAGAGTGCAAATAGCTTCAGAGGAGGTAAAATCACAATTTTTCCAATATTAATATTAATGAGGCTGACCATTTGCATTTGCGGTAAATCCCCTTGTAGCATCAATGTCCTTTGAGGATTTTTCTGCAGATAAATGAAGCATTCTCCTCCTTCCCTCACTACTTCTGCTAACAGTGTCACTCAGTGCAGCAATAGATCAACAGTTCCTGCTAATCTGTGAAAAGGCAGAGCTTAGAACAAGTGCTTTTTGACATAATTAAAACTATACTGCCTACCACTATTCCTGAAAGAAGTACTAGCAGAGTTTCATTAGAACAAGTAAATACAAATAGAGTTCAGCCTGAACAGTTGTCTTTGTTACAAACAAAGCCCATTAGTTAGCAAGGAGAATTTGAAGCAGGGCTGAATTCACGCTGATCTCAAAGCCCTTCTCATATTTAATTTATAAACTGATGATTAATTCAGTGATTAGCTAATTCACTTGCAGTGATTAATTTAATTCATGTCTTCAGGCTAATGTTTAAGAAAGAAAAAAACCCTATCTCTGATAGATGCACTTCAATGTCCTTGTGATTAAAAAATGATAATATAATGCCCTGGAGAAAAAAGGAGAAAAGAAAGATCAAGTGAATCGGTAGCATGATCTGTTGTAAGTTCTTGCCTAAGCTGTAGCTGTAATTTTTAGCTGTGATGTTTAAATGTGTCAGTTACTCTAATGATCAATGGTTTGAAAGCCGAATCTAAGGATCCTTCACTGTAGCTTTCCACTGTGTATTTTGAAAATGGTGTTACTTTGGAGCAGTCCTCCAGCTCTGCTTTTTTCTCACTTCTTTTGCCAGCTGCCTGCCTGCTCCCCTCCCTTTCAGCAGCATCTTTCTCATGCCCCACCAACGTCTTTGACGAGAGTGCTTTGTACTTCTTAAATCCAGGCTGCTTTTCTCTGCTTCCAGTAGAATTTACCTCATCTTTTGATGCAACATGTAATGACGAGGATGATTTGGGGGATTTCTCTGTATCAGACAAACTGGTCTCTTTCGGGGCAACACCGCTTTTACAGTTTATGCCATTGCTTGGCAATGGAGATTGATAGTTTCTGAAATCATCCACAGGGCTCTCCTGTCCTGAGCCATCAATGCTGTGCCTCTCTGATTGAGCTGAAGAGCCTGGCTGGTATTTCTCTCTTCTCTCAGGTTCACTATTCTTTTCTGGACTACCAGCTTTATATGTTGGCTTTTCATCATGTGGTGGTGGCAAATGCTCCTTTTTGGTTGTGGCATTATTTTCTTGAGACTTCACAGGCAAATTTGGGTGTGGGGACTGGCACATCCCAGAAGATGGATCTTTGCTTTTATCTTTTAGAGCATTTGCATTAGTCTTTGTAAAAGTTTCTGATACAGTTTGTGGTTTTTCTCCTCCTGGAATATTTTTCTCAGGCTTCAGTAATTTACTTAATGGAGGTAATGGATGGTTCCCAGAACCTTGGTATTTATCTTTCTCTTTTACAGCCTTTTCTTCAGGTGACCTGGTGTCCTCTCCTGCTGGTTTCTTTTGCTTCCTGTCTCCTGAAGTGCTTTTTTCTTGAGGCTTCAGCACTTCTTTTGAAGAAGGCAGCTTCTCAGAATTTGGATCTCCATCCTTTTCTTTTACATAATTAGTACTAGGCTTCTTAAAACCTGAAGAATCTGATGTTTTTTGCTTTTGTTCTGGAGTAATTTTTTCTTGAGGCTTAACCAATGTTTCTGGTGGTACTGATGGATACTTCCTGGAACTTGGAATTTTGTCTTTCTCTTTTGCAGTATTTGTATCAGGTGTCAGAAAACCTTCAAATCTCATTTGCTGTTTGTCTCCTGGAATATTTTGCTCATCCATTTCTGATTTTCTTGATGGAGGTAGCTGGTGCTTCCCAGAAAACTGCTGCTCAATATCCTCTTTTACTACCTCTGTTTCAGGTGATCCAGTGTCTTCCGCTGCTGGTATCTTTTGCTTCCTCTCTCCTGAAGAACTTCTGTCATGACAATTTGGCACTTTGTTTGAAGAAGGTGACTGGAACTTCTCAGAGATATGTTTAGTCTCTTTTTTGTCTGGCTCAGTTTCAGGCTTTACAAGGTCACCTGGTAACATCTGTTTCTGTGTCTCTAGAGCAGTAATGTCCTCATCAGCCATCTTACTGTCCTGCCTTGCTGTATTTCTTGGTGGCACTGAATAATTGTGGAAGTCTGACTCAAGGTTTTCTAGCTCTTCACTGTCATTTGTATGTTTCATTGGCTCATCTGATGAGTCCAGATGTTTTTTCCTATTATTGCAATAGATGTTTTCATTGCCTGTCATATCATGTTTGTGTTTCACCAAATCTCTTGGAGATGCTAGATGCTCCAAACTCTGTCCAGTATTTTTCACTCCTTGAATGTTAGTATCATTCTCTGATGAAGGTAACTGGGATATTTGAGGACTATGAGCATCATTCTCCTTTGAAGATTTATTATCATAGTCCACAGTATCATTTGGTGTGAATACTTGTTCCTCCTCAAATTTATACAAGACATTTCTCTCTTCTTTCTCCTCTCTCTCCATCCTATCACTTTCATGCTTCATGTCATCATCTGAGGAGAAGAGCTTATCCCTTGTGTATTCAGATATTTTATTTCTGCTTTTTGCATCCTTCTTTTGGTTTGAGACCAATTCAGTTGATGAAGGAATTGGGTTCTCTTCTAGCATATCACATCCATGCTTTTTGGTATAATCTAATATTGGTGTTTGGCTCTTCTCCAAGGGTAATAGGGGATTTCCTGATAGTGTGGTTTTATTGTCATGTTTTCCTGGTTTTGTGGTTGAATGTGAAAGACAGTTCTCAAGTCTCTGACATGAATTTTTCTCTTTGTCTGTAGAGTTTTCATTTTCTGTTGCATGATCTGGAAATCGTGCTTGGTTCTTAAAATCAAACATAGTTTTCTTCTTCCCCATTGTGTCATTCCCACCATCTGTCAGCTCATCTGAAAGGGCGTGTGGATGCTTCTCACAGCCATGGCTGTCATGCTCATGTTCCACAGCACCAGCTCCCTGTCCCACCAGATCAATAGGTGGAAGTGCTGGAGGATTTCCAAGAGTGTGATGGATACTTTGTCCTGCAATCCCACTCATTGATATTGGTAAAGGGATTGACAAGGGTGACTGCCATGCCTCAGTGTCAGACCAGGGCATCTCATCTGCAGTGTCCTCTTTATGCTCAAGGAAAGATTCAGATGGCTTGTGGCAGGTCTCCAGGTCAGTTAAGGAACCCCTTTGCAGGGCTTGGTTGTTTGAGTGATTCATCACTTCATTTGATGAAGATAATTTGTCCTGCCCAAAATCTTCTGAAATAAAGAAACTATGCTTCACAAGGTCACCTGGCAAAGGGCTCAGTATCTTTTCCAAAGAAGAGGTGTCCTCCTCTTCTGCAGCACCAGGCTTTGGCTCCAGGCTCTCATTTGAGAAGAGTGTAGGTTTGTTCTGATTTGCATCTGGAACTGGCATGTCCCCATTGGAAACATTAAAGTTATTTTGTGAGCTAAAATACACTTGAGGAGGCTGAGCCTGCATAGTTTTTAATCCATTTTGCATTTGGCTGTTGAGTGTCTTATTCTCCTCCTCCTCTATGTTTGGGACATCACTATCATTTTTGCTAGAAGACATTTTGTCTTCACTGTGAAATGTTGCTTCTTTTTTGGCTTCCTTTGAACATTTGACTCTAAAATCCAGCGCCTCTATTGGTGTCTTTGTGCCAGATGCTGGTGTTAGGACAGTCAGCTGTCTATCATCCATTGAAGACTCAAGTTCACAAGATGCTGAAAATTTTGGAGAGTAAAATGGCAGAATGTTTTCCAGTACTTTCTGCTCTGGAAAACATTTTTGGCCTGGAAAGAAAAGATCCTTTTCTGGCTCTGTGAGCTCTGTGTCATCTTCATCTGAACAGTATACATACAGAGATATTTCAGGAATCTCTCCTGGCTTAGTATCCTGAGGACTTTGTTCATGGGATTCTTCGGCTGTGCTATAGTCAGGTGAGTCAGAAGGTGGGCTGTCTTCCTTTACAAGTTGCAGAGCATTGGTAATTCCCAATAGTGAAGATGTGTCAGGCCCAGCTGGCATGTTAGTCCTGTCACAGTCTAGACCACATTCAGGTAAGGGAGGAATACAGTTTGCGAGAGCTTTGTTTTTATGCGTAATTGAAGAGTTATCTAGAACAAGATGAAAGTTGGGTCCCTGTTTTGTGGAATCTATTTTAGCCTCAGCACAGTCCTTCGCATCTGACATGGCCTCTGGTGTCACCAGTAACTCTTCTTTGTCCTCCCTGTCCTGTGCTGCATTTGCCAGTGTTTTGTTCTCTCCGTGATCTCTGTTGGATCCCTCCTTTTCCTTCAGTAGTGTGGGGTGACCAAAAGGCTGCTTTGTGGCATTATTTTTCGACCAGCTCCAAGGATGGTTAATTTTGGTAGCCATGCTGAGTCTGGGCACTGGGACCACAGAGCACACTAAATTTTGTGACTCTGGACTCTTTATACCTGTGGCTGTCATTGCTGCCATGCGCAGCACTCTGACCTCAGGCTTATGAATAGCTTTTCTGCTGGGGAAGTTTTTAGTCTTTCTCTCACCTTTGCGCAAGAGTGATGCTTTCACCTCTGCAGCTGTGCAGAGAGTGCTTTGTTCAAACTGCTCCTTCAGTTTGGACAAGACTGAATTCTTGTTGACTATTTTTGGCAAACTGCTGTTTGTTCCCTTCTTTTTCCAGCTGGGAGACTTCTCCTTGGCTTCTTTTTCTTCAGCAGCTAAAAATTTCTTCAGGATGTTCTTCACTGTGTTTTTTCCAGTCACACTACTCCACCTTGCCCTCTCACTGGGTGTTACATCTGCATCCTCCTCCACTCCCTTTCCCTTTCCATCTCCCTTCCTGTCTCTACTTCTGTCCAGCTTGTTACCAGTCCTGCTCACCCACATCTTCTCTTTAATGACCAGTTTGCCAACTTCTCTTCTCTTCTTGGTGTACGGCTCACGATTGTTGTTTAGAAACCTGGACCTCAAGAGCTGAAATCTGGTTGGATATTGAACCCTGATTGGATCTGGACATGGCTGGTTAGAGCTCACCTGGTTTTCTTTACCTTCTGCCCATTTTGTCCTCTTGTTGCTGATCTGTGGATCCCCAGCCACGAGCTCGGTGACGTATAGCAGCAGGCTGCTGAGAACAGCAAAGGCTCCTGGCTCTGTTGCCATCCTATTGAGCTTCTTCTTCAGCACCAGAGGGTCTATAAGCATCTTATTATCTCCACAGAAGTGTGCGCTTTTGGTGCTGTGCAAGAGAAAACATAAATGTCTTTTCAGGTCGTCAACATTGTCACTACCTTCTTACTTTGCTTTAATGGCATGCTGCTACGCATGAAATGGGAAAAAAACCACTTAAATGTAGAACTTCTCAAAGAGAGTTGATGTTAGTGGCCTGTTAAAAAGCATGCAAAGTGCTCAACAAGCTTCATGATGCATGGTGTAGCAGGAGTGTGAGGGCTTTGTCCCACACATCACCACCAGCTCTTTCTTCTGTGTGTTGTGGGCAGTGGAAGCACTTAGGGAAGCAAACAATGCTAGTCGGGGTCACTGCATCTCCTCTGTCCCTCATTTAGAATTACCATGTTCTAAAGCAAGGGCAAACTGAAGGTATTTTCCTTTCCTTCTAGGTAAAATGTAGGCAAAGATAAATACGATGAGATTGCAGTTAGCAGGAAACCATGGTTCTGTCTCTGGTTTATAACCATTAAAACAAAATATCAAGGCTGAGAGGCCCAAATGTTCCACTGATGGCTTTTACTATTGGTAGAGGTTAGAAGTCAGTAGATACCTCCCAAGAATTAAAAAAAAAACCCAAAACAAACAACAACGGGGTTGCTGTTATTTGCTTTTTGATAGCATTCAAATCCCACATCAGGACTATGTTCTTAAATCTGCTTTGTGAAGGCTATCACCACAATAGTAACCCTGGCAATGTCCCTTGACTACAACCTCTTTTAATCTGGAGGAAGAGGGATGGTATGTTGGACCTTTGCTTGTTTGAAGAATCAGGCCCTAGGACAGCTGGGGATTTAGGCAATGCTTTAATTGGTGTGGATCTGTTACTAAATAAAATACTGAACTCAGCACAAAAGCTGGAGCTTGAAGTCAATAACAATAGATGGGTCTAGGAGGGAAGAATCAAGAGGTGTCAGCTTTCTGACACCATGAGAAGCTGGAAGGGTACTTCACCATTCAGTGAAATAGCTTCATGAACAGAACACAGCCTGCATACCCGCAGGGGATTAATTCTGATAAGCAGAAGTGGAATAAAACATTCTTTAAGTCCACATGTAGAAAATGAAGAAAGGCAGCAAAGACACTCATGCTTTAGGGAGTGTCAAGCTCAAAGGTTGGGGAAGGCCCAGCTGTGCCCCAGCAGCTGGCACCCCATGGTCTCTGAAAGAAACTGGACCCGGCCCCTCGGTGCAATATTATGAAGGCTGTTTGCAGAGTGAGGGGCTGGTCCTTGTCCAGTTGGGTTGTGACATTTAGATTCCATTTGGCTGCATTTCAAGTGCACATATTAAAAATTACATCCTTCAGCAGACGGATGCATTTGCCATCTTGAATGGAAGAAAGTCTATTTATAATGACTTTGTGGGTATTTTTAAAGGCCAATAAAAGAAAAATGCCTGACAACTGGCCCATGTCTAATGTGAAAAACAATACCTTGTAGGTTTTGATAGGGAGTGACCACATTTCAGCATTGCACAGGTGGTATCATCCACCCTTTCCCTTACCAAATTGACCACAGCCAAGGAGACAAAGCTTCTATGTTACACCAAGAAGCTCATTTGTCCCAGCTATGGGAATTTTCAGAATAAAGAAAGAACTGGAATTCAGAGTATAATTCACTAAAAATATCCAGCTTCATTCCCTCTACTAGCAAGTCTGCTGATATTTTAACTTCAAGATTGTCATCCCTCTCCTCCCTAACTAGTATCTGGTGTATTCAGAAAAACACGTGGGGCCATCAACCAATGTGCTTTAGGGTCATCTCTGATCTCTCAGAACAGCAGTGGAACCAGATGCCCTGCTTACCCCTCCCTTCAGGACTGCTTTGGAGCTATAAATGGCCACAGTAAAATACAGACTAGTCTTGCTTTCAACATAGCCAAACTACTATTGCCTGTGAAGGGAAGATCAGACCCTCTCTGCTAGGAATATTCACAGTAATTAATCACATATGAGCTATAAAATTCAAACAACTTCGTTAAAATACACTACAAGTGAGCTCTATTCAGGGATTTCCTTTTCCATGTTAGAGTGTTATTACAGGATGCCATCTGAAATGTAGCATTTGTGGGAATACTGCATTGCCTTAAGTACCAAGACATGTTGCATGGGTTGAGTGTTTGATCCATATTCACCAGCCAGCAGCAGAAAATGAACAAACAGCTATGGCACCTATTTAGGGCATCTGCAGTTCTTCCAAGATGACGTCACCTGCAAATGACCATCGTGACCATGTAAATCTGAAATGCATTCTGTGCAAGGGCAGTGGTACAATGATACTGAATTCTGAGACCACCTCAGAAAATGAAGGTAGTGGTAAATCTGCTTTAACCTAGTGTTTGGAAAACAACATGGCTTCCCCTCAAGGAAGGAAGCCTAAGTAAGGGCCTCATGTTTGGGAGCATGACCACCATTCTCAGCAGGCTAAGTCATCATCCCTAATTTTTCCTTACTGTCTTTTCCCAAATTGCATCCTGTGCCTCTTAAACTATGTCATCTATCAATGAAATATAGTCACCTCTGTATCAACTACAAAGTCAGTTCTAATCCCATTGGCAGTATCCAGACAGGTAATCCCCATGCATGGGGGAACCCTGTGCCAGCAGAATTCACTTCCCAGCACTGTGAGCTATGCCATATGATGAGGCAGACACTTGGGCTCCTCCCTGATCCTGCAAAATGGTCTAACATGTACTTTATCTCCCTCTCTTCCTCTGGAGAGGAATTTTGGTTTCCAATCTTTTTAATGTATGTGATGTGCCTCAATGTGCTGCTGGTTTATGGAACTGCTGCTACATGGTTTTCAGTGTCTGGAGGACAGACTGCTTAGTCCTGCAGAGGAGGCAAAGCCACCTTCAAAAGTTTCCTGTCTTCTTGGCCCACAAATACTTAGGATGCATAAGACAGGCTGCTTAGTTACTTATTTATAGGTTCTTTGGGGACACTTATCACAGGCAGCATCAGAGTGGTAACAGCCTAATATGCTAATGAGCAGCAGTGCAACCCTATCCTGCTGGCTGGCCTGTCCCAGAGAAACCTCTGCAGTGGACACCCCTGTGTTGCGAGAGGAGGAGAGCTGAGGTGCCAAGGGAGAGGAGCTGGTACTCTTTCCCAGACCTGCCTGCTGCTTCCTGCACCAGTGCACTCCAAGTTTTCCATTCTGTTAGGGTTCCAGATGCTGCTGAGTAGCAGGGTGTGGTGACATCCCATGGCATTTGCTAAAAGCATACAGTTGTAGGATTTTCTGGTTTAATGTCTCTGGTGTGCAAAAGAGAAGGCCCTGTCTCCTGATCCTGAATTTCATGCTAAGTATCTGATCACCATTTTAGACAATGGCAGCCAAAAGGACTGGCTGTTGCAGGGACAGTGGAATGGGCAGAAGGAAACAACACTACGGAGGCCTCATCAAAAAACAAGAAACAAATTGAAAACACTGTCCAACCTGCAAAAGTTGTCAGAAATCAATGGATTGGTCTGCCTTACTCTTGGTAGGCTCTGGGGAAATGGCCATGAACTGGTGTGTGCAAGGTCCTGCATCTCACAACCTCCCTCATCCCTGGGCATCTCATCACTGCCTGGCTCTGTGAGGTGTTTGGTCCAACAATCTGCCCCTAGGTAAGGAAGACAACCAGGAGCAGCTCTGCCCACTCAAAACAATGCACAGGACTTTTGAGTGTGTTCAGTGAAATGATGGCCAAGGCACTGCTCACTCCAACAGCTGCAGAAAGGGTGCTTTATAGGTTCAGTCTTTTTTTTTCAATGAGATTCTCTTATTGATCTCTGAAACACAACTTGGTCCTGCCCAGGTTAGATAGAAGGTAAAGTGGGAAAAATTATGAATGCTCTTAATATCTGTTGGTGATTATTTTTTCTAAAGGAAGAAGAAAAGCCAAAGTACTAGAGAAAGTCCTACCTTATGCAGAACATTTTCTTCTCTCTTCTCTACAGCTGAATCTATTACAGGAGAGCTAGAGGCATCCTAAACTAGAAGCAATGTTTTCAGAAAGTCTTGGTATTCTCTGGCACCACAAGCTACTGACACAATTGCTGCCTTTGGTTTAACACATCTCCAAAGCAAACAAGAAAGCACCTTGCGAAGCTGCCAAGAGAAAACATGCTAAAACAACAGAGCGAGTGGTAACGCATAGTACGGAAAACCTTTTCATACGGACATTGTCATGCAGGCTGCTATTCCTACTGACAGGCATCACCTGCTCCTGTGTCTGTCACATAACATCCCAGTGACGATTCCAGCAATGGCTTACATGGAAAAAAGCGTAGGAAAGTACTCATGTATTTTTAGCTATCATTTTAAAACACAGGTCAGCAGCTGGAGAAAGACAGGAGAAACCAACACCACGTAGGCAATCACACATGGTAGAAATTAGAAAGTATTACGTGGATCTCACTTTCTGAACTTCTAAGGTAAACCATGAGGTTAAACTTGGGAACAATTTCTGAGCTCACATCTGCGTTATTTCATTGAGGATTCCATATTTGTGCCTGTGCTGCTCTTGGGGGCATTAGGATCTCCTTCATCAAGGCCTACTTTGTGGTATGCAACTTTTAACCCAATCGTAGTTTGCTGGTTTTCTTGAAAAATGAGAAAATAAGAGAAAAAGGAAAAATGAAAAGAAGGAAAAAAGGGAAAGGGAAAGGGAAAGAAAAAGGAATGAAAAAAGGACAAGAAAAAAATAAAAATTTAAAAAAGAAAAAAAGGAAAAAAGGAAAAAGGAAAAAGGAAAATAAAAAAGAAAAAAGAAAAATAAAAAAGAAAAAAGAAATGTTGAAGAAGAACTTGGAGAGAAGAGGGGAGATGAAGCCAGGCAAGGAAAGGTGAAAAAGAACAAAAGGTAATAAAGGGAAGGAGAAAAAAAAAGGGAAAAGGTAAAGCAGTAACTTTTCTTCTTGTGGTTTTCGTGGTGTTCAGACTTGTGAAATGTATCACAGCCTAACTGTTGACCTATTACAACTGCTTGAAGACCTCAGCCAAAAATTCTGATACTGATACAGCAACATATAATCTGTTCAATCTAAAAATAAAGACTGATACTAGAAAATAGTGCAAGATTAATTTATTTACAAATATTTCAGCCAGTTATATTTTAGAGAAACTTTTGTTCTGAAGACTGAAGAAGAATAAAACCATAATTCGGAAATTTTAGACACACTGATCAGAAATTTTAGACACACTGATGCTTTGCTGTTCCTTGGAGGTATTTTTAGTGTTGGCTTTTCCTTTTCTGGAAGCTTCTAATGTAACAACACCTTACACCACAGTGCTGATAGAGGGATCAGTGATTCATTAAAAGCTAATCCATGAGACATTAGGTTTACAAGTGTCACAGACACATTAGATTTGAGAACAAGGAGGGACACAGTGGTGAAAGGATTGTCAAATATACAGAGAATACCCCCGTGAGTGGGTACTACCATTAGTTTTGCAAGAAAGCATTAGTTCTGAAAATTAATTTTGTATGTGTAATTACTGGAAACAGCTGTTTAGGAAGTGGTATTATAGCAAGTTAGACTGAAATCAGTCAAAAGACATTTTATTTATTTTTTGCCATTTGAGGTTTAAGCAGCACTCCTTGTATTTAGAAATCCCTACATCTGTAAAAAAACCCATAAATATCACATGTATCTAATCAGTCTAATAATCCTAATCAGTCTAAGAACTCAGCTATCTTCACTTGCACGCGATGTACATAGAGCTCTTCAGACTAACCCAGGGCCACCTCCTTCACTATGAATGCCAGTCAGATATCTACAGGGTTTGATATAGTCTTTATAGAAAGAGAAAATGGCAGAAACTGCTTTACTTTTCCTCCATGGATAGTCGGTAAAGATTCTCGCCCAAGAACTCGAGCCTCTCCCTTTGTTCCAGGTCCTGGTATAAGCCCTTGGGCACCTTGCTCAGGCCGTACACCAGGCCAAACAGGCAGCCGGCGATGGACCCAGTAGCCGCACTCTCCCCTGCAGGATTAAGCACAATTGCAGTGGTCTCTTAGTGTCACCTTCACATACACAACTGAAAACTGCACTGGAGGGAGCATTCCACACTGATGGGAGCATGTTGGGCCAGTCCCAAAGGCTAAGGATGCCTAAGTAAGAGAATGATGCCAAGGCGAGCGCATGGAGATGCCACTGTGGTGCGCACTCCTGGGCTGGGTGCTCACTTGGTTTCGGGAAAACCTACCCCAGCAGAGCAGCTCTTGCAGGCAGCCAGCCATTGCTAAGAATAAAGGAGGGAATAATAGTTGCAGAGGTGTCTACTATACAACAAAGGTCCTGGACTGGAGTGTCCCTTCCCTTCTCCCAGCCCAGCCCAGCCCAGCCCAGCCCAGCAGTTTTAGAGCACTGTGCAGTCTTTAAAACAACCAGCCTTGCTGAGGATGAGGAGCACTGATGCTCTGTGACTGTGGGTTTGTACCTGCCAGGGTCTGCAGTGGGGGACTGTGAGCTCTCAACACTGTGTTGGGGCAGGTGAGAGACCTAGAGCCCCTGCAAAGGGCCCACACCATGTAGGGAGGGAGTGGGTGATTCAGTGCTGGGGTCCTGCCCCCCAGCTCTGCTGGCCCTCCCAAAAGTCCAGCAAGATGCAACTGCTAATGAGAAAGTTCTCTCTCACAAATCTGTAGAAGTACTTAATTGTGTGCCTCCAAGTGCTGGATTTTATTTGGCTGGCCCTTGTTTGGGTGCTGTATTATTTTTCTCCCTTACTTGGTTTCATTACATGCAGCTAAAAGGTTGTTTTGCCAAAGGTGCTTGTGCTCTGTCAGGATCTGTCAGCCCTTTAGAAAGTCATGCTGGCTTCCTCCTCACACACCTCTGGAGGAACCATGAGATGTGGATGGAGCAACATTTGAAAAGTGCTGTAATTGGCTCGTGTGGCAGCTGCTGCCAGAAGAATGGGGTTTAGAGGCTAAAACCAGGGGTGACAGTGTTACAGACAACATGGCAGATTGGCCAACAGAGGCAGCTGACAGCCAGCGAGGCCCTGGCGAGGAAGCAGGGGTGGGAGGCACAGGGGACCCTCACCTCCGTGGAACATGGAGCGGTTGCAGAGCTCTGTCCAGTCCCCGCCGCAGCCCATCAGGGCATCGTACGCGATCATGGGGGCGTCGTGGCCTCGTCTTCCCCCGCGGCCTTCGGAGCTCCACCGCCTGTACGTCTGTGGGAGAGACGGCACCGTCAGGGCAGGGCACTGGAGCTGCAGGCGTGGGGCATTGGCCAGTCTGCCCTGCTGAGTGGGAATAGCTCCTTGGGCTGGAAAGGGCGGCAGGGGCTGTGCTGGGGCTCCTCTGGTGCGGCGTGGGACGAGCCCCAGCAGCCACTCCAGCAGTCCCGGCGATGCCTGAGGCACCGGTGTAAGCCTGCAGTCCAGCTTAATGCACCAAATTCTTGGCAGGCCAAGAGGCTGGTTTAAGCAAGCCAGAAATGCCAAAAAAGTACATCAAGACAGATTTCAAGTTCACATCCTAGAAATTCCTTATCATATGAAAATTTAAGGTTGGTAAGGACATACTTCGTCAGTCTTCTTCCTGCCTCTGGGAATGTTCTCACTCCTCTTACTGCACATTTGCAAATGTTTCAAATAGTCAAGTTTTCATGGGGGGTGAAAATATTCTGATCCAGTAATTTCTTTAGGGCCTTAGTTTCAGACTATGTAATTCAAGCCCTCTTCTCTGTCTTTTTCTTGCCAAGCCTTTTCTCTCCTCTTCTAAAAGCACTTGTCCAACAAAAGGGAAAATAATTTGCAAATGTAAGAAACAGTTCTTCCTCAGGAGAAGTAAGAAGAAAGAACTCCAAATCCACAGTGAGGCTTGTAAAGGAAAATTGGATTTTCTCTAAAGCAGGTACCTCCAGCCCCAAATCCCCAAATTATCTCAACACTAATAAATGTATAGTTAAAAAATACCTTCCCATTAGAGAAATGGGCAGCTTTATTTCCTGAAGTTTAGCTTACATCATGGCCAGTTGAATGTTGCTGGTTGGCTGGCTCTTGGCTTCTGCAACATGTGTGAAGGGTTTGCCTTTCTCTCTATTCATTTTCACCTGAGCTGTTTCATGCTTGGCTGAAGTTTATCTACACATCCATCAAACACAGAAGAGTTGGACAACAGCTTTACTCTGCTGCTTTTTTTTTTTTTTTCTTTTTTTACAGTCTAGAGAGATTATTTATGCTTTATGTTGTTCTCTGCCCCATGCAAATTTCCAGCCCTGTTGCTGCAGTTTGGATACTGCTAGTGCAATACGGACACACATGCAATGCTACCAAAGGCAGGAGGGCTCAGCACGGAGGGGCTATTCTGGGAGTGCAGCCAGGCAGATCAAGTGTCACTCTGGCTATTCCTCCTCATCCCTGATGCTCTGCACACATCCAATGTCATCCCGCCTTGCTGAAGCAGTTTTACACTGGGGATAGCTATCCTAGGGCTGAACCTGGCAGGACTTAACTGCCCCAAGGCAGCACTTCCCAAACTGCTTCCTTCTCCTTTCAGCTCCAGCATCTTAGTGCAGCCCTGTGCTATGTTGCGGCACAAGCCCAGCTTCCCTTGGGTGGGCCAGCAAAGACCTAGGGCTTGGATGGCATTGTGCCTGCAGAAAGGTGCACCTGGCCAAGCAGGAACATGCATATGGTGCCCTGTGGGCAAGGGTTGTGCCAGATACTGGTGCTTTATTAACTGCACGTGGAAAGGCAACAAGCTGTGCTCCCAAACACGAGGGGACAGCTAGTCTGGAGGGAAGGCAAAGAGAGGGGACAACTGGGGAAAAGACAGGCAGAATGGTCTCCTTCTCCTCATCTATTCTTTCCATAGCTATTAGCACACTAATGAAGTGTCTCGACTTCTGCCAGGCTATGATCTCTGCCTGGCGGGGGATTTTGAGGATCAACCACCATTTCTCCTTTCTTGTTCATCAAAATAAACAGCTCAGTAGGCCAAAACAGTTGGGCTAGGGTAATGAAGGTAAATTTTGTTTTGGCATTAGGAATTCATACAGTTCTCTCTTGAAATGGTCATGGGAAATTATTGTTTGGTTTAATCTCTCCTAAAGCTTTGCTGAGACTCCAGCAGTACTGGAAGGAATATAAAACTAATAGAGAATTCATGGCATTGAATTACTAAAATAAATCTGGAAGGAAATCTATTCTTTATATTTAGAGTGAGCAATTTCTTATTACCCACAGTCAATCAGACTTCCATAGGCACCTTTCACTGCACAGAAAATCACCTAAAGATACACAAAGTGACTTCTCAGCATAGAACTATGCTTAAATAGTCTGGGAAAAAAGGATTGATTTATGGCAAATGGTGACAAGAACCACATACTTATTGTTTAGCTACTAAGCGGAGAGATTTGGGGGGTGCCAGCCCATATCAGGCAGCTGTAATGAGCAAGGAAGAAGACACATGTCTCTTGAGTTAATAAGATATAACCAGCAAAGAAAAAATAATGTACATTATAAAATAGTATCTCATGGAATGTGGTGAAGCACCATCTCTCAAGACACTTTAAACTATCTTGGCACAGCCCAAGTTGGCAGCAAATCAATCACTTGGGATGTTCGTCTTCTGCTCAAAGGACCAAAAACTTGTAGACTGGTTTGGGTTGGAAAGGAACTTTAAAGACCACTGAGTTCCAATCCCCTGCCATGGGCTGGGACACCCTCCACTAAACTTGACCAAATCCAGCTTCTAACACCTGGGGGTATTTTTGTGGGACTCTGGCCACAGCTCCATTAGAGCCTTTTATGAGAGCCCCTGGCAGGACATTTGCCTTTTCCACCCTCAGATAGACATGGCGCATGTTTTGTAGCTGCTTTGGGTGCCAGACCATTAAGCCTGGCTCTCTGCACTGTTTTCTCCCATTGCAGCAAACCCAGGATGGGTGGTAAATGTTTTTTTTTTTTAAGCTAACGTACCTGAGTCAAGGATGGGAGTTGTTTTTTGTCTCTTGAAATTTCAGGGGAAAAAAAATAAATTTCCTGACTACTCTGGCAGTGCAATCAGTTGAAAAATGGTGATGTGTCTCTTTGAAAATACCTCTCTTGGTTCAGAGCCATCACAAGAACTTTCAGAAGTTGCAGTTACCTTTTCTCTCTCCTCTGCATCATAGTTGGCTGGAAAGACAGGTTGATTCTGATTTTCCTCATTGATTTCTCTCTCCTCCAAATAAAACTGCCACTTGGCTTCAAAGTAAAACCAGTGCTCTTGATATTCTGAAGGCAAAAGAAATTAATGACGCATTATTTCATTTTGAGAACATTTTCAGTTCTACTTTAACATATTTTAAGGATAATGACAGTATTGACTGACATGAAACCCCAGGTATTTTACAGTAATGTACTGCATATATACTAAGTATAAAGCAGGACATCTAATTGAAAGCAGAGGATGCAATAAAGAAAATACTTTCATAATTTTGTGCTATTTTAATGTCATTTAAGATATATCAAGATAAAATTTTACAACAATTTACTGAAGAGCACTCCAAGGAAAAGATAAAAGTTAACAAAAAGAAAATAATCAATTCTTTGCCAGTTTTTATTCCTTTACTATGATTAAAGATTATCTAAAACGCTTCCACATCCTAAATACAATTTGCCTCCTAGATCAGTTATCAATTTTTTAATTGCATAAATTCTCCAGTATTTCTGTTTTATTTTCATCACATTTATTGTGTAATCATTCAGGAAATATCATCAGATAGGAAAGTCCAAATTTCCCATTTGCATATATTATAATAGATATCAAATGTAGCAAAAGGATAAATAACACACACATCTGCTATTTGTGCCCATAGAAATAAGCCTTTTTTAATAACCATATGTCTTTCTCCCTTTTTTCTGTCACTTTGGGAAGTGATCTCTAATCATGCTTAATGTTCCCCATGTAAATAAACTTAATAAATTTAATTAATTTTCGAGACAATGCTCTGGTTCACCCTTTTTATAAAGAAAAGACACTTATGGACTGTTAAGCACATACACATGCACCTGCCTGCAGAATTGAGGCCTGAGGGAAGCCCTGCCTGGCAAGCTGAAGGGGGTAAGGAGTTAGAGAACACTGAGGTGGCCCAGATGGCTAAATATTCCAAGGCAAACTAGCAAGTTTGGATGGGACTATGGGCGTCAAATAAAATTTAACGTTCCCACTTTTTCCGTCCCTCTCCCCCATTTGGCTGCTCAGTGGTGCGCGCTGCAGGTGGCTGAGAAGCACTCACACAACCAAACCATTCACCTGAAGGATCTAATCTGATTTTGCTTATTGTCCTAAAATGCCACAGTGGTGACTGTCTTTGGCAATTAAGATCTTTAAGTAGGGGCATTTTTGTAAAAATCCAAGCTGCTTTGTAGGACCTGATACTTTCACAAATTTGTCAGCTGCCAGTGTCCCAGACATTGATGAGCATTCAGTCACATACCCAAGACACCTGGAAATGTCCAGCTGCCCTTTTTCTGAGTCTGTGACCCAGTCTGACCTCATTTCAAAGAAACCAAACTAGAATCCTAAGAAGGGGTGGTGTTTACAAAAACAGAGTGAAAGGGTATTTACAGCCATCAGGCCAAGGACAGCATCTAGATGTATCTACAGTATCCAGAGGAAAACAAAGATAAGCAAAACAAATGTAAACTATCAATACCCACTACAGCAGCTGGTTATGACAGTTTTGTGAAATGTGAGTGACCTGACTGGTCTCTTTCTTTTTTGCTGGCTTTTTGTTTGTTTGTTTGTGTGGGTTTTTTCCCTAATTCCCCCATGACAATAAACCATAAATGCCTCAAAAATTAATGTTTTCTATGTAGCACCTTTACAAACAAGGTGCTTGTTCCACAGTTTCAGAAATAGAGGGATCAAGCAGCTGAAGGAGATTTTTGTTGGGTGGACCTGTAGCACAATCAGAATCCCATGCCACTAACCCTAGCAAGGCTCTGCACTGCCCCCCGAGCCCAGCCGAGGTGATGGCCACATTCAGGTCCATGGAACTATCCAGCCAGTAATTGCAACTGGATATCAGAGAGGGCTGTAGAGTTGAACTCTCTGTGACACAGTTAACAAGCTCTCTGTTTGTTATCCATGGGGGATAATATAGCTAAAATAGGATTTTCTGAAACTGGAGGACTCTGTTTGGCAGGATTTCTTTGCAGCCCATCTCAGCAGCCAAGGAGCTTAACTTTAATGCAGGACACTTTTCCCCACTACCAAAATAGGATGAAGCTCAACAATAAAGGCACTGGCTGGAGGGCATGCCTCAGGAGTCCAGCACACATACCTCCATGCCGAGGGGTCCTGCTCGGGTGGAGTGACAGGGACCTGCTGCAAAGCCACCCAGAGAGACGCCCCGTCATATTAATCCTGCACCTGCTCCTCATGGGTCTCTGCTAAAAAAAATCCTGGTGTGCAATGAGGCACAGATGAAAACACAGGGTCTTTCAGAAAGCCTTTCTGGGGCTCCTTTCAGATTTTAAAGCAGCAGCTTTCCTTCAGGGGTAAGTTTTAATTTCTGAGTGCTCTCAAGTAAAGGTTTCTATTGAGTTCAGTCTTTCTCAACAGCTGCCTCTTAATCTCTTTCCTTGATGTTTCAGTGTAATGATACTCGTCTGTCCATGGCAGGCCTCACCATCACAAACATCACTTCCTGACAAGAGGGGACTTTGCCCCAAAGACCATGTGTGTAGCAATAATAAAGTAGTAGCATCAAGTTCAGTAGCTGGGTGACATTCAGTTGTTTAAAACAAGGATTCAACAGGTTGTATCTTAAATATTTGTTCAGAAAAGCAACAAGCCAAATCTGAATTGTGGTCAAAAGCTAACTCTTGGTCAGGAGGCATCTCCAGGTCAAATTTTCCTGGCAGGATGAGGAGTGTCAGTGATTTTTCTTCTGGAAGATGTTGAACTGCATTAATTGATGGAAGGCAGCTGAATAATTAATCTCAAGAGTCAGTTTGCCTGATTACCTGCTAAATATAATTTCCTTCCTCCCCCCACCCAGCAATCTCTGAAGATTCCCTAAAAATAAAACTGCAGTAGGGCACAGTCACTGTCATTTTGCTTTGTATTTTTGCCACTAATACACCAGTCAAATAACTGGTGGTAGAAGAAGGTGGCACTACCTATGGAGAGCTTACTTCTCTGAACAGAGAAGGTGGGTGGACAGCCTTTGGAGGGAGGAGGGGATGAAAGCAACAAGATGTAGACATTTCTTCAGTGCCTTTGCAGCTAAACATAGCTTTAGGAAAATAAACCCTTGATCCAGACTCAGTACCTGCCATGTGACGAATGGTCTTCTTACAGTATTCTTCAGCCATCGGCACAACCTTCATCATGTCTCTTCCCCATTGCACAAGGGGTTTCCCTTGTATTGCGTATGCCACGAAGAGAGCTGTGCAAAGGGACCCTAGAAAACCTGGAATTCACAAACAGCAAGGATTACCAGTGTGCATCTGTGCTGGTACCATCCTTTTTGTCCTTGTTTTTCCCCATAAAATCACCAGTGGAATGCCTCATGGCTGTCAGGTAGATTAACAAATGTACACAACCCATCTCCGCCTGTTTGCAACCTGACTTGTGGCATGTCGAGATTATTGGCTAATGACTGCTGCCCACTGGTTTGTGACTTAGCTTACATAGTAGGGAGCTTCTGTTCTCAGTGGTGTAATGTGATAGAAATTGAGGTAGGGGTCAAAAATAAACATCATCTACCAATGGGATACTGAAAATCTTCTAATTGAAGTCACATGGAATAATTGACTTGTACAAAGTGATTAAATTACAAGCTATATCAGCTTGTTTACAGCATCATCCAGCCCAAGAGGAGTGGTTGTTAGGTCTAACACTATTTCTGGCTCATTTGACTCTAAGGGAACAAATCCATGTCCCCTTAGAGGAAAGAAGAAATTGTCCAAGAAAGACATCCTGGTCTTCTATTTGTAACTTCAACATTGTAAATACTACAAATAATATAACTGTTGATGAGCACTCAACACTTCCATGACACCAGTAAAAGTAGGGCTCATTTCTTATGTTTGTTTGTGTCCTTGGCATTCTGTCAAGGGCAACAAAATCAACCTGGTGCAGTGTGCAAAAGAAGCTGAAGAAAAGCAGTCAGTCATTTAAATAAATCCCAGGTGAGCAAAGTATTCATGCATTTGCTTCTTTCAGTGCATGGGTCCAAAAGCGTTCACTCATGCATAGAGATAATCATGAATTTTGTGTGTTTTGCTGAAGGTAAAACAAAATTATCTTAGGAAGTGACAAGTCTAGATGAGGTGATTACTGATTCCCTCTGCCACAAAACCTGCTGGGCCAGGCCCAAGGTGCATCCAGCTTGAGCCCCGTAGATGTTTTCATAAAAAGTAACAGCCCGTGTAGACCCAGCCCAAAGGGTCTCACCCAGGTAGGCAGCAGCCAGCCCAGATGCCACAAGGATCCTTGAGGGCCACATGTGAGGGTGGCAGCAGAGGGTTTAGAGCATGAATCAAAGAGCTATCAGGGGGCACTGGGACGCCTCAGTCAGAGGGGGCAGAGGCTGGGGTGTGCCCTGAAGGTTTTGCGAGGGCTGGCAGTCCCCTCCTGCCCACTCCCTGTTGCTGTTCCCTGCTCCCCCTGCCCACAGCAGCCCTCACACAGCCTGCTGCTCCCCACTGGGGAAGAAAGCACGCCCCAGCCAAGGTGCCTGCCTCTGCAGGACAGAGTGAACTCCTATGTGGTTTGGCTTCTCCACTCCCCAGAAGATCTAGGCTAGTTTTAGGGGCCAATTTAATTACACAGCTTGATTGATTTTGACAAGACAGCCTCTTTGATCTCCTCTGAACCCATGGACTTCACAGCTGCCTGTAGCAGAGAGGTCTAAGGCTTCACTGTGCATAACATGGGGAAGTTTTTCCTTTGTCTGCTGCTTTCAGTCCCAGCTGACACACTGTTTGGGTTTTTCTGGGTTAAGAGGATCATAACTGGCATTTTCCTGACACGTTTCAGGATGGCAGTGAGGTGCAGGTGGCCCTTCCACCCCTCTCCTTCCTGCCTCCCCTGCTGTGCCACTTTAAGTTTTCCCAGCTGAGAACTCTTTCTGGATGTAATTTCTTGTTGTATGGAAGGTGTGTGACAGCTTGGATCCTCCTTGCTGCCATTTTCTGAGTCTCATAAGCCCTTTCTGACATGACGGACACAGACTACAAGCAGTTTTACGGCTGCTAATGCACCATAGACTTTACATATCAGCCTAATTTTCTGCTTTGTTTTGAACCCTTTCCCCCTAATTTTATGACATACTGATGGCTTTTCTGACTGCTTCATAGCACTGAGGGTGTTGAACATGTCACCATTCATTATGGTTTTATTTATTGCTGTTTAAAGCAGACAGAATGAATATATGTTTGCATAGCATAAAATTATCAAAATGACAGACCTGAATATTAAAAACAACATTAAATCTGCTTATTTAGGTTTTGTTTAGAAAATGTTTCAGATAGTATCCTAACATATGTAGAGTTAGGCTTTTTTGGCTTACTACCTTTACCTACAGTGATTGGATATGACAAAACCTGCCAAGAGAAAAATGTTGTTATCCCCTGAACCATAAATCTGCATGATAACAGTGAGTCATCGAGATATACATGAATCCCAAAATTTGATCAGGGCAACTAACATGAGTATGCTTTGGACAAGGCAGGTTATGTTCAGATATTGGGATTTTAGTAGAGAAACAACTATGCCTGAGGATGCTGTCGGCATAATATACAAGCAAATATATAAGCCTATATAAGTTGTATACACATGTATGTATTAACCAATCAACATTCAAACTGAGGCCTTGAAGCCTGCAAAGCAGAAGTGGTTTAACCAGGGGAGCTCACAGGAGCCATGTCAGTCCCTGCAGAAGAGCAAAGCTGCCTTAGGGGATGTCAGAGTGCAGGCATTACCTGTGGGATGGTTATGTGTCATTCGTCCACATTCAATGCTCACTTCAATGAGTGACTCCAGCCTTTCTGGCTTCCAGTATCGCATCCCCAAACACATGGCTTTTGTGGAAGCTCCAAATCCAGAACCTAAAGTAAAAGGATAACACCAAGCATTTAAAAGGAGACTGATCTCACATAAATATGTTGGTAAAATGTGAGACAAGCACACTTGATTAATTCAGCTCATGTGTGGGAAGGGAACTCCTCAGGGAATGGGAAATTACCATGCAAAATGAGTTACAAGTTTTGAGTTTCTTGTGAGGAATTCTGCTCCTACGTAATCATTCTGTTTTTACAGTTATATTCCAATATAATCAAGTGCTCTGAAGAGCATAGTGGGTTCAGAAAGCCGTCCACTCTCTTGCTCACAGGATTTGCTTGATCCAAACTCTCATCCCATCTTCACTCTTTTTTGGCTGACACTGCTGTTTTACCCACACCAGAAACAGAACTTTGAGAAACAGATACATTTCTCCAAACCTTTATTTTATAGTTGTAAGCACACAATTAAAACACTTTATACGAGCTTCACAGTTCACCTTTCAATTTTAATGCATGTTTCACCAGTTTCTGCTACATACAAAAATAATGTGTCCAAAAGAAACTAAAGGCTACTGAGCCAAATCCTATGAAGTTAAGCAATGTCAGAACTGAAGTTTCCCATACAACCTGAAATTAGTGCTTGTTGTGTGCTACAGCCTACGCTTACTGAGCTTAGTGTTGGGAACCTCCACCTCCATGCAGCACAGAGTTTATTTATTGAATAACAAATTCAGAATTTCTTTTAATCCTTAGCACTGAGTGTATGATCCCAAGTGCTCAACTTTTAAACACTTCATTGAATGGAGTTAAACTTACTAATGAATTTCTCTGCAGTACTTATCACAGTAATTTTAGGATCCCAGAAAAGTTTTAATGAGCTTATCTTCACCAGCCACCAGTGAGGTGATTATCTCCTCTTTGCAGCTGGTGAGCCAGTGCCCAAAAAAGCATTAACTCATTGCAGGCAACCACCCTGAGATGGATAGGCTTCGATTTTTGAAAGTACTTGGCATTTTTCAGTGCTGTCTTTGCTCAATCACACTTCCCAGTGACCTTGGGAATAGCTGAGAGCAATCAGTGTTTCTCTTCTTGGCTCCTGGAAGATAAAGGGCATATTTATGCTACCTAATTTTAGCCTATGTGAACCTGCATTAGGAGCCCAATCTCCTTGTCTTTCCCGGACAGGCAGCATGGAGAAAGGCTGTATGTCCATTAGAGTGTGTGATGGCATAGTAGGAGCAACCCAGGGGCCAGAGTTTGTATTAAAGCAGCAGATGCTAAGGAGCCAGGGTCAAAGCTTTCAGTCACTTATCTGGAGAAGGGCCCTCAGCTGCTCCACTGGGCTTTGTCTCCTCTGGAGCAAAGCACCAGGGGCTCTTTTGGAACACCTCTTGCCAAGTGGCTCCAGCTCTGATGTCCTAGGTTATGAGTGTGATCCAAGTGGGGTAGTGAGGGTGGCAGTGAGATCTACTTCAAGCCAAAGTGAAGCCTGAGCCAAACTAACATAAACCACCTGCTGGCATTTCCATGTGCAATATCTGAATTTCCCTTTTAGGAAAAGAGTTCTTCTCCCCTGAGAGCAGCTATCCAGGAGCAGATAAAACTGGCTATCCCACAGATCACATAGAAACCTCAAGGAAGAGTCAGGAAGGAAATCCAGTCTTCCAGGGCACCACTCTACTGGGAGAAAATACCTTCTCCTGCTTGCAAGATCAAACTCTTCATTAAACCATCTGAGAGTCTTCACTATGCAAACGTGGTTTCTCCAAAGGACACAGTCCATGCTGGTTATCCAAGAGGGGAGGCTCTTGCACTACACAAAGCTGCTAATTACATGACATCTTTCAGTATATCCGAAATGGAAGATGTACTACAGTAATCTGACTGCTGGTCTGGAGGAGCTTGTCTTTCCCACTTCATTGCATTCCCACAATCTGGGAAGTTCCATTAAAACCTTCTGCAGAATTAGACAAGTGAACTTGGCAACAAAAAATTCTATCCCATGGAGTAATACTAAACCCAGACAGAGCTTCAGGGGGCTGACTCTCATGTCCCACGTCTACCATTTGAACTAATGACACAAGGAACAGCAAGACTAGTCCAAGCAACAGAGGTGACACATGTGACAACATAATGACTGTCCTCCATGATCAGACCAAAGGTAAAACCAACTCATCATGACTGACAATGAAGAGGATTTACTTAGGAAAGAGTAAAAGAGAAGTAAAAGGACATTATCCCTTAGTATTAACTAAACTGCTCACAATTTATCTCCCTGATCCAGGAGGCAGCTGGCTATTAATCTTTCTGCTTAAAAACCCTTCAAGGATTTCCCCTGGGTGAATTTGCCGAGCTCATTTTTGAGCTCACATGAATTGCAGCATCTGAAAATTGGTATTGGAAAATAGTTATGCAGCTTGTGTAGGTGTTGTGTGAAGAAGTCCCTTTTTTAACTTGCTTTGAGCTCATGACCTTCTAGTTTCATTTGAAGTCCCTAGCTGCTGTCCTGGAGGAGACAGTGAACTTTTGCTGTACCTATCCATGTTTCCCAGTTATTTTCCTTTTCATTCATGCACTAAGTTATTCTTTCCTAGTATGTAATACCTCAGTGTGATTTTCTTCACTCTACAACTGTAGAATAACAAAGATTAGGGTAATGGCTGCTAAACTCTGAAGAGGATGTGCCTTTTGTGACTACAGATCATTCTGCAGGAAAACTTAGACCTTAGCACCTTTATCTCCTGTGCACCTGCAGCTTAACCTCTTCAACTTTCCCCTCAACTTTCTGCATTTTTCCTCACACTTTTCCCTCAAGCTCCTCTGCCAATACCACCAGCATAAAGTTCTCAAGTGCTTCTAGGAAGCCCAGAAGTTGCTTCCACAGCTGCAAATAAAGACCTGCTTGGATGCTGCAGTCTCGGCCTGAAATACACGTGGTACAGGCAGAGCCCAGCTATCTGTCCCACCATTTAACTGGCCTTTCACAGTGGCTCCAAAAGCAAATCTCTGGCTCAGGGAGTACTACCTTACTCAGATTTTGGTTCCGTTCTACAACATCAATGATTCTCTTCTGAACAATTTGGAGTTTTGGCAATGGGTCAAAACATTTGTCTCAGAAACAGCAGCATAATATGCATAAAAACTTTAAACAAATGCTTACAAACAGAGGCAATCGCTTAGTGGAGAGAATTTTAGCCTTGTGCTCATCAACGTTGTAATTTGTAAACAAGCTCTTAAAATGGAAGGTGTTGGACAATCTTGGGCAGGTTTTCTGGTGGTCACAGGAATCTCACCAGCCTCTAACATAACACCAGGTATCTGCAAGGAGTGTGGCAATGAGTGTGACATGAGGTGGCAGAGATACATAGGGCAGTTTGACTTAAGGATTCAGTGTGCTGACTAAACCCACAAGAATCTGAGCAGAGAAGCATCCATAAGCAATGCAAAATTACCTAAGACAAGTCCATGAAGGCTGGCATGTGAATTATTGCTGGAAGCAAGATAGAATGCCCCAGCAAATCATCCTTTTGGTTCCAGCCCATCCAAAATATAATCTGCTAGGCATTTAATCCCAGGTGTTCAATGCCTGTGACATGTTTTTGCCTCAAAAAGAATTTTGTGCAAATTCAATTAAAAGTTAATTATGTCCATAGCAGTGTTGGGTCCCATAGAAGACAGAACATCTCCAGGTCCCTGGTTCTTCTGCTCTCAGGATGAAAAAAAGGCTTCCTGAAATGTTCCAGATGCTTACTTGTCAGACCAGATGGAGAAGGTGACTTAGCTGCTAGATCTCAAGGCAGAAATTAATTTTAGATTCTTCTAGCCCAGAGTTTCCCCAAAGCAGATAGTCCATCATGGAAAGCTGGGCAGGAGGACGGCTGAAAGAGAGGTAGCTGCAACACTGCAGTGGACCAGGGAACAGCCATACCCAACTGCTTGTTGAACAATATTAAGAGCTACTTGGTGCCAACAGCAGCTCCCACAATTACTTTCACCAAATTTTATCCACTGTCAGTCACAAGACATGTGACAACTGCCAAAGGGGCACTTTCTCAGATCTGGCTGGCTGATAGCAGGGTGGGAAGAATACACCCTTTTCATTCCCAGAAGCTGTTGTGAGGAACAGGGACGAGTGAGAGATGCTTTTTTTGTTGGAGAAATCTGGCTGCAGAGACCCAGGAACAGCTGTGGCATTGTACCACCGGGTCTTTGCCATGGTGTTGAGTCCATATGCAGTTCTGCAGTGGTTGAGTGTCACCTGCACAGCCAACACCAGTGTGAGCTGACACATTTTATGGCTGTCTGAGTCTCCCTCCTCTGATCATGGGGTGTCTCCACAGGCTTTCAAGATTAATTGCACTGTGTGTGTCTGTGTGCACATAGCTGCCTGCTATTTAACTTGAAATGGAAATTTTATTCATTGTAAAAGTAAATTAACATAAAAGGAACGAAAGAGAGGGTCAGGCGCAGGTAAACCAGGCTAGGAATATTAGGGATTATCAACAAAACAATCAGTTGTTAGCAGGGCATTGAAATGGAGAAAAGTCTCAGTTTTCCCTCCAGTGAACGTGATGGTGCTTAAACCAATTTATATGCTTGGCATTTTGTTTCAGATCTGTTGTCACTGAAAAGATCCAAGTCTACAAACGTTTAAAGGAAAAATGGCAGAAAATATTTCTTAAAATAACCATTAAACTCAAGGACAAAGATCTGGACCCCGAGGCACACAGCCAAGGACAAAGGCTCTTTAAATAGATGTTAAAGAGGGAGGGGTTTGCTTACAAGAGGACACAGTGCCCTGCAGAAGGAATTCTTGGCAGATCTCTTGTCATCCTCAGGCAAACATGGAAAAGTTTCAGGGGTAATGGTCTTTGATGTCAAGGGGGAAAAGGAAACAATTTCCATATAGCCACAAACACCAAGAACATGCATTAGTTTAGCCAGGCCCTCTAAAAGGCAAGCAGTACTGTACCCTTTTCGTTGAAGGGAGTGTGCCAAGCGAGAAGGTGGTTGTCTGGTTTTAACTCCCTGCAGCCTTCGATGGTGGCGGGGTCCGGCCGCCTGCCCGAGAGCTTGTCCACAGCATCCACGTAGCGCTTCACCAGCTCCCGGTACAGATCTTCCAAACACCAGTAATCTGCTCACAGGAGGGAAGAGAAGGCTGTTGTGTGAAGGCAGAAGAGCAAAAAACCACAGAAATCATGCAAGCAAGCTCATGGTGCGTTTGAGAAATGTTTCCACTTCCAGTACACCAAGTCATGTTTCTGGCGCTGCTGTCACACTTTTACACAACATGACAGCAGGCTGGAGGGAGAATGGTCTTGATTCTCAGTTCTCATCTTTCTCATCTTTCCCTCCTTTCCTTTCCACATTTAATTCCTTCACTGAAATGATGAAGCATTCTGTTAATGAACAGTAGCTGCCTTTATTTGAGCTCTGTGATGTGAAGTCATTACAGAGACGATCAACTGACAGGTGACAGCAAGTCTGGGTAAAGCCAATCGTGCCTGGCTCAGCCCCTGCCTTTACAGATGTGAATGCAATTTAAAAATTAAAGCCTTTTTTTTTAAATTAACATATTACAGAATCACTTTAAGAGGGATGTATGACTAGATACAAAAGCAAATTAGCAACTTCCTTTCTTTGCTCTGTATGTTATATGTATTTTGTATAAAATATTGTAGGTCTTTCATGCAGGGATCCAAATATCTCATAATATCATAAACAGTGAGGTTTAAAGAAAAATAAAAATCCTAATAAAATATAAAAATTAAAAAAATAAATATAAAAAAATACTATAAAATAATTTTATATTTAAAAGTAGTAAATCCCTACTGCCTGAAGGCAGTTTCCAGCACATAAAATTCTCTCTGTAATAAGTTCACTAACAATATCTGTTTATAGATTATTTTTACCAAGTCCTACAGTCTTGCCTAAGGAGGAACCTTCCCCCTGTTAAACATAGGCTGTTTCTTCAGAATTGCTGCTTCTCTTGGCTGGTGTTGTCTGACATCGTTCTTGAGGAATCCTGCCTTTGACTTGTGTCAAGGTAAACCTTCCACTGGCAACTATTACAGCTGTCTAATCAGTGCAAACAGAGGCCAGAGGGATTTATCCACTTAGATATTTTCTTCATACTTAGAGAAACCCCATTTAATACTTGGTTGGTTGCACAGGTTGAATGACATAGCAGGGGAAGAAGTCCTTTCAAAAATATCTTAATTTTGTCAGAGATGGTGAATTTTGGAAATCCACAATTTAACTTAAGAGAAAGTTTGAAGTCCCAAAGCAAGAGACATTCTGAAGTACCAGTCATGGAGGCAGGCAAAAAAAGGAGATGAAGGGTAGAACAAAGATTCCTCTTTTACACAAAATAATACCCTACCAGTTCCACTGGCCATCCCACATATACTCCTAAAGAAACATGACACGTTCAAGCTGCCAGCTCTTTCCAGATTTAGGAGTCAGGTGTCACAGTTTATCCAGACAGGAGCAGGGAGCAGGGTTTACTGCCTGGCAGCTCCTGCAGAAACCTTGTCCCCAGAGCACAGAGTCCCTGTGGTCCAGCACCTCCAGACTGTTCAAGCCCACCATGGTTCCCACTCCTGGAGCCAGATTGCTGTCTCAGCCATCAATAGGACAGGTTCTTTCTTTAGAAATGAACTCTTATTGTTTTTTTAACCCATGTGTAAGCAAGAGAGTAAAGCACCAACACTTTTGTTGTTACAGAGATAGCTTCCCTACAGAGATAAGGTTTGATGACGCTGTCCTTGTTCCTCCCTTGTAGGACAGATTCCTCCTGGAAGCAGATGTTTTGTCTGTCCTTGATTGTCAGATCGGGGCACATGGTGGATTTGGGGAGCAGCAGCTCATTCTGCAGCAGTGCACGCAGCCCCGGTTGCTTGTGGCCAGGCCCCTCCTGGGATGTTCTCCATGCAGCTGCCAAAGCGCTGGCCAAAATCCCCTCCCCAGGTGAGAACTGCCTTGGTCTTTAACACAAAGCTGCACCTCACTCTTGGCTGCTGCCTCAGCCTCAGGCTGGGAGCTCCCCCGAGGGCAGTGCCCGACAGTGACAACAGGACTCCATGGCTTTAAGCCGTGGGCAGGTCTGTCCCAGCCTACAAACATCCCACAGCTGCCTGCAGGTGAGCATCCGAGGAATGCTGTGTTATAAGGCAGCCAGGCAAAGAAGATGTGCAGGGAGCAGGACAGTGAATGACAGAGATATTTTTATTGCTGATTTCCCCTCCTTTAGTTTTGGTTTGTTTTTTGTTTTGGTTTGGTTTTTTTTGTTTTTTGTTTTGGGCTGGTAATGTTCCAATATATTCTTTAAAATCTGTTTCCACAGCAGTAAGGGCACAGCCCCAGGGCTGGTGGCAGATGCCTTCAGCCTCACAGACGTTCACTCCTTCAGCTTCTCTCTGTTGACGTGGGTGATTTGGCACCTAGGCTGGGCCATGAGCAAGCCATGGAGCTTTTTTGCACTTCCTGTGTCAGGAGGAGACACTGCCACGGGCAGGAGTGGTTTGTGTTTCCCTTATGGAATACAGGGAGAAAGACTCATTTTATCCCACTCACCAGTGTTGCTGTGAAATGAAGATTTTTTACTAAAATTCCCTACTCCATCTTGCTGTTTCCTTTCCAGCCCATGAAAGCACCTTTTTAAAATGCTTGTTTGATCAGGTCAAAGAAATGAGTGTAGGATAAACACAGTAAATGGAAACAGTAGCTTAAACTTTTTTCTTTAGAGCAATTTACAGGCTGCTATATTTAAGAAAAGAATTATTATTTTACTGTTGGTCTAACTGACTTGATTGCCCAGAAGTTATGATTTTAGTGCGTTCAATAAGCAAGAAACATATGATACGTGTTTAATCATAGCCTATATTCAGAAGTATGCTAGTCATCTTTTTTCTTGATAGGCTGACATCTTGCCCTTATCTTTAGTGTATTAGCTACCCCTTAAACCATTGGTTAGCTAATAGCCAAGTATGAAGTGTCCTACACACTCTTCAACTGATCTCTACCTACTAAATTTAGAGCAGATTGGAAGCAGGCAGATAAAGGAGTGAAACAGTAGCACAAAAGAAATCTCATTGATGTGAAGGATACTTAGCTACATGGGGAGCTTCTGCTACTGGTAGTTATGCAGTGTTTTGAGTTCTAAGAAAAATCAGGAATACTTTTACAGAGATTAAAAAAAAAAAGAATCATTCTGAAGAGGCAAAATGCTATTGAGATGTCACTGCCTTCTGGTGTACTTTTATGATCTTGCCAGACTCAGAAAGCTCTAGTTTGATGGGTAAGGTGTCAATACAAACACTTCTCATCTTAAAAAGACTACCCCCACCTTAAGAAAAAATGTTCTGAGAACATTCTCAGAATGAATGCTCTCTCTCAAACCGTTGTGATTTTAGAAGACATCTTGATAACTTCCACCATTCTGACAGATTTCATTATAAATACAGTACTTTAGGATACTTTTTGGACTAAAGACATGGAGCTCTTATAAAACAAATATGTTTTTGCAGATGCAGCCCTTTGTCTGAGGGGAAGCAAGGAGGAGACAGCACTAGTGCTTTTAGCCTGAACGAGGTACAAAGGTAACTCTACTCCGGCCTGGAGTTCTGGACACAAGCATGTAAAAAATGCACTCAGAAGAGTTCTTATCTGTTACAGAAGGCTCTCTAGTGGCTATAATATTCCCTGATGTATTTTAGCATACAGATAATCTACTTGGCAATTATTTTTGTTATGCTGGACATGTGGTATTGTAGTCTTTAAGCTTTAAGCAACTGTATATCTCTAAGGAAAATATAGGAAGAGCCCCTCCACACTCCAGAAATCAAGAACCCCCCCCCCCCCCAGTTTGTGAGATGGTCACAGGACTGTGCTCATGGAGCAGCCAAACTAATGCACATTATCATTCACATAAACAGCATTTCTGACATGCTTTCTCATGACTTCCCCAGCAATCAGTCTTATTCTAAGAAACGCAGCTCGACAGTTCTGTTCCTCTGCAGACTTGTTGGCTATTCCCGCCGTACCTACCTGTGATGACAGCCTCAGCTGTAGCCATGTGCATGAGCGTGTTGTCACTTACTGGCCACTTGTCGGGAGAGAGCACCAGGTTCTCAAGCCCTCCAATTTCCTTCAGCTCCTGCTGGATTTTTGCACCGAAGGCATTGTTTTCACGGGAGAAATTGCGATAACCGAGAGCATCCCCGACCCCAGCCAGAACAAGCGCAGCCTTAAATTTATCCATCCCAAAGATACTTTCCAATTTCCTTTTGTCTGAGACAGCCACTGAATCTTGATCTTCCTTTATTCCTTTGCCTTCAACTCAGCTCCCCCGACACTTTATATCAGCCATTGTGTCACACCATGAGCTCTCTCTATAAGGCAAGGACTTCCTTTTCTGGCTCTGCAGATGCCATCTCTTGTCTGGGATCGGACAGAGAGGAAATATTTCATAACCCAGGGATTTTGCAGGGGCTTTGTTCAATGAAACTGTAAGAGCAGACCTGCAAAAGCCTTGTTTCTGCAACCCAGTTTAAAGCAAGCCAGGAGATCCTTAGCCCTACCCAGCCAAAGTAACTCTACACCCAGAAAAACAGATGCCTCCACAGGGGTGCTTATTTATTCAACAACTTGTAAATTAATATTTTTTTCTTCTGCCCATTTCTGATATGCTGAAGTCAGCCTCCCTCTGAGGGACCAGTCAGAAGTGAAGGCTATTATAAAAGCAGTTTTCCAGGCTCTGTACACACTAGAAGGAGTAAGAAATCTAGTGAAATGCCGATGACCTCTCCCATTTCTATTACGCCTGATGGAGATACTTTGTTAACAACTTTCTTGTTCTGTTCCACCTAGTACAAGAATGTTCTGCTAATTCACTGCACCCACTGAGCAAAACACCAACAACTTCAATTCCATGCCTCGCACTCCCTGGCAAATAGTAACTTTTTCCTAAAGCTGATGTCAGTCTACACTTGGACTCTGGAAGGAAACTATTTTGAAAGATGCACTGAAATGGCATCCTGTGAGTCTAATAAAATCCTAACGGCTCACAAATTACTACTACTTTACAGACAGAAATAGAAATGTAAATATAAATGTGGAGAGGTAAACATTGATTGACCTGACTGTAATTTTGATAACTGATACCAGGGGAAAAGTCTTTGTTTTTTGATCTTTTTCAGGGGCAATACTGACTTCTATTCAGATGGAAAAGACCAGCAATATAAAGGATGCATCATCCTAGCACCCAAACCAACAAGCTAAGGAGCATTAAGTTAATCATGGTCTTAGTAATTGACCTGTGTAGAAATACCTCTGTACTTAATGGATTTTCAGGACACACAGAAGCATTGCCATACCTGTTCTACATTAGAAGAAATAAAGTGTCCAAATGGTGAAAGTAGCTTCTGTTAGTACACAGTTTTAAAGACTGGGATCAGTCAACAGATATGCTGGAAAGAACACTGAAAGTGTGTTTCCATTGCTAGAAAGTAACAGCTCCACACTGAAAAAGCCAAAAAAAAAAAAAGGAGAAAAGGAGGGCAATTATGCCCTAGGGACCAGAGGATATACAGGGACAAGTATCAGTGGGCCACAGCCAGCCTGCTCGAGGACTGGCTTGCCACAAGCCCCTGTGTGGGGCAGGGGGAGCAAGCATCATCTCCCACCAGCAGGGCATTTACGCAATACTGAGGTAATCTTAGAGTCACCCCTGCTCTGCCTGTTACCTCACGTTCCACGTGTCTGAAAACAAACACTAAAAATGGAAAACCAAGGCCAGGACAGCTTACAGAACACACCAGGCAGAAGCACTGACGTTGATATCTCTGTTACAGGTCCTTCCACCCCTCTGTGGCACACACCTGTTCTCTATTCCTGCATAGCATCACGGCTAGCAGGCACGTGGGAATTTGAACTTGCAAAGCAAGGACAGGAGGAATCACCTGCTGAGGCACTGTGGTGAGCTACTAAGGGCCTCATCAGATGGAAGGTTCCTCCCTGAAAATGGGCAAAGCTATTCTTAGTTTTCCATTTATCTTTTCCTTCTTAATGTGGCCGGCAGTTGAACTGCCCTTTTGCCTCCCATAGGCTTCCCTCTGTTGAAACACACTCAGCTGCTCAGAACACAGCCCAAATTAGGAACAAGGCTTTAATAAAAAAAACAGAGAAAATTTCAGAGAAGTTCTATTTTTCAACTCTGTAAAACAGAACATGCAGTGAAGACATTTTTATTTACTTTTTTAATTACACATGATCTCCTTTTCATGTGGTACTTCCAGCTACTGTGAGCTTCCTGGGCAGAGGTAGGCTAGACACACTAAGCTACCACTGCTTCCCACAAAGGAGACAATTGTTTGTAAAATATCATACCTATACATCTTAAACAGAGATAAAATACAGTAATTCCTTGAAGATGGGTGACTATTCACAATAGGAAGAAAAAACCCAAAACAAACCTGAGCAGAGCTGGCAAAACTATTTGGTAAATCATATTAAAATGCATCTTTGGTGTCTTTTCATTAGTGTACATACAATGGCTTTCAGATGGGGGGAGTCCATAGAAAAAAGGAATGGGAAGGCAGGACAGAGAAAAGGCTTGTCTGTGTTGGTGGCAACACACTGTTGTTTCAGCTCAACTGCCTTTGAAACCCGAGGTGAGAACATGAAAGAAGCCTTTGGCAAACGGGCTGCTCCTGCCCTCCTCCAGCAGAGGGATGTGCGTGGATGGGCTCCAGGCCCAGGACAGAGCCTGTGCACACTACAGGTGCTGAGCTCTGCTCCCAGTCAAGGAACTGGCAAATGGAGCTGGACTGACATGGTGTCCACACGAGCCCTTTTTAGGTTAAAAGAGGATTACACCCCAAATGCTTCCCCCATGAGTGAGTGAGTGATCCTTTGCCATTTGAAGACGCTCAGCAGAGAAATGCTCTTGATTCCAGGTTCACCCATATCATAGAGTCATATCCTGGAAAAGTAAGGTTGAAACCAAATGGGTGCCAGATTTCTGTCAGAGCTGCATTTTTACAATTCTTGAAGTGAAGGATTGTACTTGAGCATCAGGATCATTCCTTTAAAACACATTCACTGAGATCCAGGAAAAAAACACACTGGTTTTACTCAATTCTTTAACAATGGAGATGAATTATTTCCATACAGCTTTACACCACTGCCTTAAAGGAAGAACACCACAGGATGGACTCCTTCTTTATTGTCTTGATAGAAAGCTGAGGTCATGACATGAAACCTATAGGGCTTGCCAAAAGAGTAGCTCACTGCTTGGAAAAGGAGGCACAAAAAAACCCCCATGGGAATTGATCAAGTATATGCGCAACGAAAGGAAGTATCCCAATACTCAATCAAAATGTGAATGCCCCTAAACTTCCCCAACCCTTCTCATTAAGAGGTGAACATTGCACCCACTTGTCTGAAATACAGTATTTTCTGCATGTGGCTGTAGGGGCAGCTGCAGTTGCAGATCCCTCTGTCAACAGTTTAGAACAAAATATTTCATTTTAGAGGTGTGTCATCTAGTTGTACCCAGCACACTGCAGATAACGAAAGGATCAGAAAACATGTTTTACTGAACAGGTTTATGGTTGTAAAAACATTACACTTTTTCAGAAGGGCTGTGCCTTTTGAGCTAGATGCTGGTTGGCATCAGCTGAGGGAAGTTACTGGTGCCAATACTTTGAAGAAAAAAATGGTCCAAGTATCAATGTCTGCAGCTTCACTGTCATAAGAGAAGGAAGACAACGCTTGTGCAACACCAAAGCAGCCTGTGGTTGGTGAAAGCATTGGAGAAGGATGGCAGCTGGGTGAAAATAGAGGACAACTTACTTATTTTGACTTCAGCTTTCAGAAGAGGATTAACTGATCCCTTAAGTTTTAGCTCTCATATTCTCCAGATTCTGTACTGCATTAGTATGTAACTCCGAACTTCATATAAAGTGTTGTTACCAAGTTCTCCTTTCAGTTTAGTTAGACAAAAATTTGGGTGTAGTCTCGGCCAGGATCTTGTAGTGCCCAAGGTATATCTTTTGAGGGACTTTTTACTAAATACCTAGCTTATTCCTTTCATACTGTCTACCCTCTGTTCCAGGTTGCCTCTTTAGGCATTGTAACGATAGGTGAATGCAAACCTCTGAAGGTCTTTGCACAGATTTCTGAGCGTGCTACTTCTCCTACAGAGCTCAGAGCCAGGACTGAGCAACACTTTTCTGCAATCACAGCTCCAATTGCCAGTACAAACTAATGACACAAATTGTGGAGAGTCTGGTGACCAGCAGATACATGCAGTGAATACAGTACTGCAGCTAAACATTTTGAGCCTCCTAAAAGCTTAAGGATGATACAGATGATCAAACCAAATATTTATTAAGGCCATTTAAAAATTAATGAGTTACATCCTTACCCTCTTCTGGCTGATGAAGTAGTAACACAAGAACCTAATAAATGAACCAGAAAACAACAAAAAACCTCCCACTAGACCAAGCAAAAAACTGACAAGAACCATACAGACATCTCAAGTGACTGACTTCAATCCTTTGACAGTCCATTTATTCCTGTATCCACTGCCAAAAAATATACATACGTACGGCTTACTCAGCAGCAAATCTCCCAGGTGCATTGAATGAGCAAATGCCTGCAGGTTTTGCTCTCCTTGGCATGACACACATGATAAATTACATTTAAATTTAGAATTGGCAAGTACAAATCCTATGGCTCAGTTTCAAACCAAACAACTTGGCACCAAGTTTAAAAATACATACAGCATATCTGTGAAGTAATACTGTATGCACTGAACAACTTGAAGACATCTGTACCATTTAGGATTATAAACTGACCAGCCTAGGTGTTACCACTGTATCAGCTTACTTAAAATGGAAGTCAGAGTACCCTGTAAAGTGGAACCGTGGACAGCAGCAAATGATTAAAATATGTAAGAAACTTGTAAGGTGAAAGCAGTTTGCTTTTTTAATTATTTTATTATTATTTTATATATGCTTAAGTATGAAGGTGTTACTTCATGCTATTATATATGGGAATGTAAAAATCACATGTGGTTTAAAAAGGGTAGAAGACCAGGAAGAACAAAAGAAAAAGGAAAAGCATAGCAAACCTCAGAAGCTGGTTGACAAGGATCAGTTACTATCTTTGGAGTATTTTTCCCAGCCTTCCTCTGCTGGAAGCTGTCACCCATGAAGGATCCCCCTGGGGAATGAGGTTTAAAAGTGTGTGTACATATATACATATATGAACTGAATCCTGGGCTAAGCACCTTCCTTCTTGCTCAGATTAACAAGGAAAAAAACCCTCAACCCACATGCATTTTTTATGCTCTATTTATTTTAAAAGGTAGAAGGTTCATCAGAATGATTTGATGGCGCTCTCACCATAAGCAAATGTTTCACAAGCTCTACTGCTATGAATTTTCAGTAACACCACATACCAATAGATTAAGCTACTTCTGGTCAGTTATATTTTATCTATATATTTTAAGTGGCAATTGTGTGAGTAATAAACATTCCACTGCTTCTGGCTAGATAAATG